CCCAGGCACCCAAGGGACTTAATATACTCTCTGATATTAATGGTCTCCTTTAGCAACTTATGGACCATTATTTATAGTGGAGCTGGAAAATTAATTTGGCCTTGGAACTCATGCCTTATTTTAAAAGTTATCAGCACAAACAGGAAATAATAATTACAGGTTCATATGGCTCCGATATTTGTAAACATTAACACCTCCCGTTTTATTGGTCTTCTTTAATGACCAACCCAAATTCAGGTATTTAAGAACTGATTACATTATTTGACCATGCACCAAGAGTATGGGGCGCCAGATACATATGCCATATAAACAAGTAATTCCCCTGCCCTCAAGAATCCTGCACTCTAATGAAAAAAATTTACAGTCTAAAGAAATTTAGAAAAAATGGAGGAAGAAAAGGATGGCATTGACATACCAGCCCAAAGCATTGGCTTTGAAACCAAACAGATGAGACCCCTAATAGTGGATCTATCACTAACAAGTTATGTAGCTTTAACAAAAGTGGTTAACTTCTCTCAGCCTCATTTTATCACCTGTTAAATAGGAATGACAACAGCACCAGCAACATGTAGTAAGTAGTTTATGAGAATTTAAAATATTAATATATGTAAAGTATTCAGCACAGTGCCTGCAATGTGGTTAATGTGTACTAAATGTTAATCATTACGATTAGTCACTGAGGAAAACTGATAAGTTTATCATATGATTTGTGTGAATTAAAACAATAATTCATATAAAGCACTTATCAGGGTGTCTGGCACATGGCAAATGTGTAATATATGTTAGTTATCACTATTATACAGTCATTTAGAAAAATAGCTAAGCTGAGCTGACTGTATCAGTGGAGAGTAAAACATAAGCCAATTTATAGTCATTTACTTAAGTGTACTGGTATGTAACATTTTGATCATTACTGTCATGGACATTTGCATAATGCTCACAGTATCCAGGACATGTCATATACATTACTGCATTTTCACTGTGATTGAGATGCAGGGAGGATGGATTTTACTATTCTCTTATTTTGGTAAGAGAACTGAGATTTAGGAGAAGATTCTAAATCACTTGAATATTTCATCGCTATTGCTCTGGACTAAAACTCAGACTGTGTACACTTGGGAGAGAATGCACAGACCAGAGCTGGGTCTTCCTAGGTAACTAGACTAACTCCTGGATTTTGTTCAGTTCGACGTTCAGTTGTGGAATGTTACAGACTGAATTAGTTTCAGGCTTGGGTGATTTCCACAGAGACCTATGGTGCATGGAGCAATTTTATGAAAAAGACAACAAGTGTCTCCAAAAAGACATTTTGATTAAGTGTCCTTTTCTTCATCAGTAATTAATCACAATCCCTGTCTCCAAAATGCTTAATGGTCATGCTTATTTGCAGCTGGATTTAGGATGCAGAATTTATACTTTTCATGGAACACTGACATCTGGCTTTCTTCAGACTGGCTGATGCATCTGTAAAAGCAGTTTGATAAAAATAGCAACCAAGGGATCAAGAGGGAGTTTAATAATCAGTCCTCCTCTCAAATATGGTTTTGTTTCCACTGAAACCCTTCTTCTCAATGACATCAAATGTCAATGTATGCATTATGAAAGATGAAAAACACAGTACCTTAATGGAGATGTTTGATGAGTCTGATCACTCATTATCTCAATAATATATGCAAATAAAAAGGCATTTGCATTCAAAGCTCATTTTTAAGAAAAATATTAGAGTAAGGGCAATCAAATACTAATTGGATTTTAAGGAGACTCATTTTGCTTGTTATTGGTCCTTAAACTGGGACAATATCCCCACACTCCAGCAGAGCAACACAGCCAATTCATGAGTGTGAGTTGTGGCCATCAGCTATTGTGAGCCAAATGACTTTATCTTTTTGACATATCACCTTTTGTGGATTCTTCCCAATCCATCTGAAATGTATGGCTAAAGCCTAACTCTTCATAATGTCAAGATTATTAGTAAGGCTAAGTATATTTGCAAGCTTAAAGATGCTGAAATTAGGCAGCCAGGGAAAGGTTGGTAAAAAAGTACAAATTTTTAGCCATAAGATGAAGATCTAGCGTACAACACAGTGACTATAATGGTTGACAACACTGTATTACATAAACAGAATTTTCTAAGAGAGAACTTAATGTTCTCACCAAATACATACATGTGAGGTGATGAATGTGTTAATTAACTAGATGGTGGGATCCCTTCCATGACGCATGCTTACATCAAATCACCGCAATGCATATTTTAAATATTTCAGAATTTTGTCAATCATACCTTAACAAAGCTGAAAAAATAAATGCTTAAAAAGCTTGATTAGAGGGGTATCAGGATAAGCGGGGGTCAGAGTAAATAAGAAGCCCCCAGTGAGGTAAAAAGGCCCCCACCAATATCTGAAGGAATTCACGTGACTCCACAGTCTGCTGTAAAGTGCTTTGTGAAAGTGACCTCACAGCACAGGATGCCCCAGTATACCCTAGGATGTATACATGACTTGAGGGCCCAGAAGGTTTCATCAAGGCCAAATTCTCCTAGGGAAAGAGCAGAACTGACAATTCTGTAAGCATCCGAATGTATCTCAAAGCTGAGATTTTAAAAGCTGGGAGAGAATGGCTTGTTTGTTTCTTACTACATCTAGGTGTCTGCTTTCAAGGTCATTCAGAAAAATGCATGTCAAATGGGGAGGACATTTGACATTCTGACAAATACTAGGCACACACATGTACTTTTTCCTTGATAAAACATAATTATTATAGAAACATCAAGATTTATATGACACTCCACTCTTGTGCAGAAATTATTTGCCCTAAGGTTTAGTGTTTCTGCTTCGCTTAAAAAATAAGAATGCTAACACCTTGCTTTTATGTTTGTTCATTGTCTAATGAGGGAAATTATCAAACAATGTTTTAACATCCCTTAAGTTTTTAAGCTGCAATGTCTATGACATTCATACAGATTCTGAATTTGGATTGGGTACTTGCATGTTCCTGGTGAAATGTTCTCTGCTCTGACTTGGTTCAGTAGTTACTATATTTCCTTTGAATTAATATCTCCATGGATGGTTGCTATGTATTAGTTGTATGCCCTTGACCTTGGAGTCTGACCTATTCTCCCTTTTGAGCAGACCTCTAATGGAAAAGTGACATAGAAACAAGCTGAAGCCCGGGCTCCTTCTAGGACAGCTGCCATCTCATTTCTGACACACCACTCAGGTGCTCCTGAGTGGAAACTACCTTTTCTCAGGTTGAGTCGTAATGGCTAAATCCAGAGTGGTGCTCCAGAGAGGGGTGTCAGCCTCATCATAGGACACACTAAGTAATTCTATCAGAAAGACTATTAGTCTTCTGTGGGCTCAATTCGCCCTCTGCGTGTGTGTACCCAGGTGACAGACTTTGAAACTGACATCATAACATCCTCTGAAACAAGGCTCTTTGGGGATATAAATAAGGTGACTGCTTAGCTTTCAACTCAGTCTCTTTCTTCCCTCTGAAAAACCTGTAATAAAATGCCTGCACCCTATTTGTTACGTCCCTCTACTATAGAGGTCTCTAGTGGATTCCCAATCTACAGTCTGCTTTGGCATCAATAAGCAGCCTCTCTCCCTGGGAAGACGGCATTGTTGAGAGAAATGGGCTCAGAGAAGCTCATGGACTTAAATCCTGAGAACCTTTTCCCCAGAAATCTTTTATCCAAATGCACTTTAGAAAAGTGGATGGCAGTTCGGATCTCTTCCTAAAGGAGCGTAGAGCTCTCTGCTAGAATTTATCACCCACGGTTACATTTTGACGGAGTTACCTGTAATTATTCCTTCTAATTTTCTGCAGATGAAGAAGTCATTCTGTTGAAGAGTTCAGCAGCTTCCCCCCAAAAGTGTGGGCCTCGGCCCTAGGCAAGATTAGAGCATAAGCTCTGAGCTCCAAGTCTTTTGGCTTATGCCAGACAGGGCCCCCTAAAGGAGCTAAAACTATAAAGGTTTGAGCAGGTTAAAGGGTAAAACAAGCAGAAAACCAAATAGAGCCCAGAATTTTAAAGATCACAAGATTGCCACTTTTTTTGAAATCTCAAAGCACTAGATTTAGTTTAAAGTCCTTCTTCTGGGATTACTTTTATTTTTTTATAAATGGCTTAAGTAAAATAAGGAGTATTTTTAAGGCATGGAGATACGACCAATAAAAAAAAAGACTACTGGAAACCCAGAAAATAGTTCAAAAATAAATCCCCAAGTACTTACTCTTTAGAATATATACTGTCTTTAAAAAAAAAAAAAAGAATATATACTGTCTTATCGAAATGTATGCCATTCTAATTTAATGTGAGTAGGGGTAGACTAGAAAGAAAAAAAAGAATAGAAAATATGGGTAGGGCCAACTAGAGAATCAGCTGTTCAACTCTGTAGAGATTTAGGGAACAAGTGGTCAGAACTCTATATTATAATGAAAGCATCCCTGAGCCAGGGATCCATTCGAAGTCTCACTGCTAGCTAGAGATGGGGTGCCTGACTCAGTCCCAAATGACACAATACCTTTTATTTTCTCTAGTCTGACCTTTTCAAAACCCTGGCAAACTAAAGACTAGGTTACTTACCCAAAGTTACCAAGGTGGCCAAAGGTGGAAGAGGAACTCCTACTCTAAGCCATCTGACTTCAAAGCCTGTCTCTCAGTCCTACTTGTGTCAGCAATATAACCTGTAATAGGATCGATGCCAGAATTGCACAAGTAATATAGGTGAAATTATTAACTTCTCAGTATTGTGCCTGGCAGAGAATAGGTGCTTAATAGATGCTTAACCATTATTACCAAGTATTAGTATTAACCTCTACCTGCCACAATAGCAAAGAACAAGTGAAAAATAAACCCAGCATCTAAACTAACTTGCTCTTCCACCCATACAAAAATCTAGGTTTGAGCTGAGGAAGCTAGGGCTGAATTTCCTCAGTGGTCATCAGTAAGTGGCAATGTGTCCAGGCCTACTTCCTGCCACACCTTGCCCTTTCAGCGATGCTCAGGCTTCACAGGAACCAGAAAGCAAGCACGGTCCCCAAACAGGTTCCCCATACAGGACAGCCACCGGGGACAGCACCAGATGTGGAAACAGAGGCGCGTGGCCACACCTGTTGTTGTGGGAGGGCTGTCACAGTGAGGGAGCTCAAGGGGACAATGCACCCGAAGCAAAGAGAGCAGTATCTGCAGTGGCCAGGTCTGCAGCAGAGCTCTGGGGGAACTGGGTGTGCCAACAGGCAGGAGGATACCAACACGCTTTTCTAATACATGTCACCTCACTTAACCCTCTGATGGACCCTACGGCAAAAAATTACCCACATTGTACAGGTAAATTCACAGAGAAGCAAGGTATCAAAGCCCAGAGAAATTAAGTGAGGTGCTGAACTTGGCACATACCAAGAGAAAACTCATAGTCATTGGCCTGTTTGGACTGCATTCCTACCCCACACGCTCCCTATCTCCCATTACCCTCCGCCTGAAGCCACATTTCAGTCTGTCACCATTTCTCCACCCGAGGCGCACAGATGCTGGATAGCCTAATCAATATCCCTCTATATGAATAGGAATAGTTCAGGTTCACTAACCGGTCTTCATCTCAGCGAGCAGAGAATGGTTTCTAGTAAGATTTCATAATTTCTCCTACGATCCTGCTCATGAGATTCTTTTTCACCTTGACAAATTGGGTCTGCTCTGCCCCTGGACACTCCACAGGCCCCTGGGAGAGTAACTGAGCATCTCTGCCTTGTACCCCCATAGGTTGGGGAGCGGTACCTTCAAAAACATGCAGCGCCGGCACACAACACTGAGGGAAAAGGGCCGCCGCCAGGCCATCCGGGGTCCCGCCTACATGTTCAACGAGAAGGGCACCAGCCTGACGCCCGAGGAGGAGCGCTTCCTGGACTCGGCGGAGTATGGCAACATCCCTGTGGTCAGGAAAATGCTGGAGGAGTCCAAGACCCTCAACTTCAACTGCGTGGACTACATGGGGCAAAACGCGCTGCAGCTGGCCGTGGGCAACGAACATCTGGAGGTCACAGAGCTGCTGCTCAAGAAGGAGAACCTGGCGCGGGTGGGGGACGCGCTGCTGCTAGCCATCAGCAAGGGCTATGTGCGCATCGTGGAGGCCATCCTCAACCACCCGGCCTTCGCGCAGGGCCAGCGACTGACCCTCAGCCCACTGGAGCAGGAGCTGCGCGACGATGACTTCTACGCCTACGATGAGGACGGCACGCGCTTCTCCCACGACATCACACCCATCATCCTGGCAGCTCACTGCCAGGAGTATGAGATCGTGCACATCCTCCTGCTCAAGGGTGCCCGCATTGAGCGGCCACACGACTACTTCTGCAAGTGCAATGAGTGCACCGAGAAGCAGCGGAAGGACTCGTTCAGCCACTCGCGCTCCCGCATGAATGCCTACAAGGGACTGGCCAGTGCTGCCTACTTGTCTCTGTCCAGTGAAGACCCTGTCCTCACCGCGCTGGAGCTAAGCAACGAATTGGCCAGACTAGCCAACATTGAGACTGAATTCAAGGTAACTCTCCCACTCACCACTCTGCAGACAGAGGGCTCTTCCAGGTGTGTCCATTAGTCAAATGGGTTGTCTTCTGGTCTAACCCAAGGTGAGGGCCTTGGGGTCTCACCGGCCCATGGGAGGAAGGGGATTTCCTCAATCTTGCCAGATGTAGGCCTAAAGGAAAAGCAGTCCATTAGATGAAATATTTGAAACCACCTAAATGTGAACAAGAGGTGACTTAAGCACAAATCTACACAGTAAAAGACAAGCAGCACATAGGCAGGATGGTGTTGTGGTTTGGAGGTAAGCGCCTCACTGGGCTCTGCCCCACGGAGCTCAGTAGTGTCTAGGACACCTGTGAATTTTTCCTAGCCCAGGTCTGGGATTTCTTGATTGTCTCACCTGAATGGTTTTGATATATCTTATCCAGCTCTCTATCCTGTCCTGGGCTGTGTTGATCCTAGATCCAGTCTCCTACCCAATGCTAGAAAGGCTTGCTGGAAGCCTTTCTCGGTTTAGCAAGCTATTACTATTGTTCTGCCAGGGGACTAAGGGAAAGGTAAATGAAAATGAAACAAAATTGTTCTTGTGTCATTGGGCTTCTTACCTCTGCAGATGGGCCCAGTGCAAAAACCCTATAATTCCACCCCCTGAGAACACCCAGATGACCAGGCTAGCGTGGGGAATGGAGACCCATCTCCAAAGTCCACCATTCAATAGTGGAGTGATCCTGTGCTTTAACTATCAACTGACACTATTTAAAGGAGGAGGTGTTTAAAAACAACCATTAATATGGGTACCATTATTATCCTCCTTTTCGATGAGGGCACAGAGGTAAAGAGATATCATATAGCTAAGAAGTAGTGAAACCACTAGGCACTCAGAGCCCAGAGCCAACTCTTAGCCATTCTGGGAAAACTGTTCATGCACTGGGCTGCTCAGGGTTCATTGGTCTTTATCTGAATGATGAAGGTATGGAATACCCCCACTGCAGAAGGTGCATCTGGAAGGGCAGAAACTACAACCAGCCTCAGCATTTCTCATCCTGCTATTCAACCAGAGCCTAGGATTCCTGGGAGCATACAAAAATGTGTCACATGCAAGGCTGACAACGGAGCTGGGAAAAGATGTTAACTACAGGAGAGAAGTTAATTGTCCTAATAAGATGTTAGGGACACAATTAGGTGGCCAAGGATGGCTACTGATTCAGCCGAAGGAGGCCATGAACTATGGTGTTCAGGGAGATCTCAAAGGAGGAAACAGAATGGGGCTGGGTCTTGCTGAGGCAGAGGAATTGGATCAGTGGGAAGAGAGAGGTGGGCATTTGGAGGAGGCAAATGAAGGTAAGGTCCAGAATGGCCCAGAGCAGGCAAGGGACTGCCAAGAAGCTGCATAGGACTAGAACAAAGGCTTCCTGTAGGGGCACGCAGGAGGAATGCTGCAGAGACGGTTCAGGGGCAGATCTCAGGGGGCTCTGTGTGTCAGGCTGAGCACTGTGGAAGCTATCCTGTAGGACATGGAGAGCCACTGAGATAGTGATGAGATTTGTGATTTGTGATTGTGATGAAAATGATAAAAGCTAGAGTGTTGGAAATTTACTTCACTGGTAGGTCAGCTGAATTAGAGGATTTGGCGTGTGAGGCACTGGGACACAAGGAGAGACAATTTAGATATGCATGCATGAGACCATGGAAGCCTCTCCAAAGGAATGGATCGCCCACAGCCACAGACAGAAGGGACAAGCTCACCAAAAGCTGTGGGGCACTACAAGTGTGAATAGATGAAGAATCCTGGAATTAACTAATATTATTCCATCTGTTCCCCTTATCTTGGACCCATCTACTGAACTGGAACAACTTCCCCAATCCTGCATTGTTCATAGCCTCATCTAAAAATATTGGTGGATGTAGATGAGGAGATTACCCAAACAGGCCCCCAAAGAATGTAGCTATTGCCTGTTCTTTCCTTGTCTCTGTATAATAAACTCCATCAACCAGCAATAAGGTCAATGAAGCCCCAAGGAATGTTGGTAGAATTTTGTTTGTTCCCTCAGCTTCAGACTGAATCTTCACAGGCCATGTAAAAGTGGCTAATCCAGTATATTTAGCAATTTCTGGCCCAAGAGTGGGGGGGGGGTTCCAGAAAAAAAAAAAAAAATTTTTTTTTTTTTTTTTTCTGGATTCAGTTTTCTGGATAATCGCCCACTTGCCCAATTGCCCAATTCTCTACAATCTGGGAACAGTCCAGCCTTCCTGAAAAAACGATGCTAGACTAACATGTGGAATAATATCTGAGCCATTTGTTTCCTTTACTAAAACCAAAAGTCTGGCATATTTTAGTATATATAATATCTAAAGCTGGAAGTTTGTGGAAAGCATGATATTTTGATTTAAAAAGTAAATTATGGCAATTAGAGACAATTAAGAGCACTCCTAACATGATGACAAATGTGTTCTACAATGCACTGCCTTACTCAGAATAAGAGCTAGCATAAATACATTTGCTGGCTATTAACATCCCCTAGTTACCTTTGTTTGAAATAATGTCTTTCACACTGTCGACAAATGGCGCATTATAAATTAACACAAGCGTTCCTTTAGAACTTTATTACTTATTCAACTATCCTTGTATGTGCATTCCTGACATTATAAATCTTCTCAGAGAAGAAAGCAGCTTAGCAAAAGACAAGTCAATTTGTAATAAAAGAATGAAGAGCAAGTGTGTGTTCTAAAATGCACTCTTTAGGAGTCTGCCCTACTTTAAAGGAACTGTGGGCTGCTGACTGTAGCCACATGTATGTGGGTGACCCATGACATCAGCTGTATAAAAAAGAGATCTGGTCCTGACTGGAGGTGTCCTATGTCATCCTCTAGATCCTCTAAGACACTCGCCCTGGGGACGGCTGCTCCTGACTAGAAAAGCTCACACAGGGAAACCTAGATTCAGTGGCCCAGTCTACTGTTTTTGAGTCACTGTAATTTATCACCAGAATAGAGTCTAGTCATTAGCAAGATCTACAGCCAATGTCCAGGTCTCCAGTAAATTATGGCTGAAGTCAGATGCCTGCCAGCAAGCCAGTATTTTTGGTTTAGAAATGATGCATCTCCTCAAAGATTTCTCTTATGCCTCTCTCATCTTCTTGGGTCTAAAAAGATATGAAAACTCATTGTGGCCCATAAGACCTTCCTAATGACTTGACCAGTGCTCAGTAATCTAATAAGCATTCCATAAATCCTTGATGAAGGGAATGAATGAAATCCTGAAATCATAATCCTTTCAACTGGTGAAGCAAGAGATTACTTTTATCTATGATTTAAACTCTTCCTACATGTACGAATCTAATAGAGCTATTTGATAGACACAGTGGGATGGGAAAGCTCTACAGAAGGTTAGGAGGCAGTTAAAGGGATCAAACAAACACAAGTTAAATAACAGAAGACTAACCATGTGCTGCATTGTACGGTGCCAGCGGCCACTAAATCCTGGACAGCAGGACCTACGAGTGACATTTTGGTTAACTGGTTTATCTGAAGAGGAGGAGACAGAGACAAAGAAAGGGAAGATCAGCATGGGATGGGTTATTCAGAGGTGTTTCATCCTGACAGAGGTTCTCTCTATATAGAGAGGCACCTGAAGTAGCATGGAAAAAATAAGGCTGAGTTACAGCCCCTGCCACCAGGAACACAATAAGATCTTTACATTTTTCTTGAATTAGTCCGTTTGGTTTTCTTTACTGATCAGCCTTCTGATAAAACTGCTGAGGATCCCCTCTATTTTGCTGGTATCTTGCCAAACTCCAGGGCATCCTGTCTTCTGTGTTGCTTATCTATAGAGCTGTTGTTTCAAAAGGATTACAGGTGTTAATCTTTCTTCCAACTCAGTTACACTAGTAGGAGCAGGAAGGGGTAGAGAAGTAAAGGACAAGAGAAAAACAGGAAGTGAGGTTTAGGGATTTGGAAAGGAAGAGAAAACAGGGCAGGGACTGGAGGTATCCCTCTTGCATTCTCACCTTCTGCTTAAATTTAAAGTACCCCCTGTTCCCAAGTCAAGGGACTGTGGAAGCCCTAAAAACACTCCCTTAGTTACTGAAGACTTGGTCATTCAGAGTAATAACAAAGCTCCAACTAAGAAGGCTATTCATGTTGACACAACATCAGCATGGAGGCTGCTGACGGTGCAACTGATTCTAATAAACCAGAGAGGAGAAGAGTAAAGGCAAGAAAGCTAAAGCTGTAGCTTCATCCTGCTTAAAGTGCTGATGACTTTACTGGTTGTTAATGGGTTGTGAACCCAGGTATTATGAAAAAAAATAGATAATGAATTATGTATCAATGTTTGTGTTGCCATTTTAAGACCTGCAAAAAAATTCTCTGGGCCTAAAATACCACAGATTAAAAATGCAAATAATGATAAATCAGACCAATTTGCCACCTGCTATGATCTCTAGTGAGATCCCATTGTGGAAGGTAAAGATGTTGAGATGACAGTTTGTAATCTGCTTGCAAACTTATCAAAATGGAAGAGGAGAGAGGAGGGGAAAAGGAGAAGGAATGTCTTTGTATGGTGGTAGAGAGAGCTCAAAGCATATAGGAACTAGGCCATTTGGAGCCGGGGAGCTAGGAAGCCAGAAAGCCTGAGTAAAGGCGCACCCTGGGCCTGAGGCAGTACTGGAAGGCTGAATAAGCCTGCACTCCCAGCATCCACTGGAAACTGTGTTTTGCACCTGTTTCTCATGCTTTGAATATTTTTAGGCTTTTCAAATTTTACAAACCAACACCGTTAGAAAATACATTTCCTTGAAGTTTGAAAGCCTGGCTGGTAGTATAAACAAATGCCTACTTAACATGCAAGAAATGACTTGAACATTGTTTCCTTTACCACTGGGAAAATATTGTTTAAGCTGCGAAGTCTGCAAGTCTTAAAAACAAGTTGTTGGGTGTTTTGTTGTGTTTCATTTTGTTTTTTTAAGAGAACTTGGCAGAAAATTCCTCAAACCACTCACTTATGTATCGATCCCC